GGGGGGGGAGGGGGGCCAAAAAAAGGAAATGCTTTAAAGTCTGGATAGAAATTATTTTTTCCATTCTAAATGTTACTGAAAACATAAAGCTTGAGGGATGAAAGATGACCTATATCTGGTATGGAAATGCCTATAGAAATAAGGTATAAATGAAGCACAGAGATGATTGGAGGAAAGCCAAGTGTTTGTTTCAATAAATATCATGTTTGAGAGGTTTGTAACTGCTGGGTTTGGACAGTGCTGCAAATGAGTTATTGTACATATGCCTCAAGGACTTAAAAAAATTAAACAACTACTTGGTTAGTGTGATGCTTCTGAGAGCTTTTCAAAAGCTCTAAATTTTTTTCCTTCAGATGTTCTGCCCTGACATTAGACAAATGCTTATCTGTATTTAAAATCAAATGCATTTTATTATTGAGGAGAAAATTGCATTTAATAATAGGATTTTTTTTTATTGTTCCTTTCCACTGGTCAATACGATGTGTATGGCCAAACACAACTGGAGATCAGAGGTTTAATGGGTGATCGTACTCTTCACAGGTCTGGAATTCAATCCTTTAAAAATCCAATTAGAATTATGTAATTTGTATAGAATGATATTGTTTAAAAGTACATAATGCATTCTGTGCTTTTACTCCTATTGGAGGTGGTAGCCAAGCAAACCTTTTTGCATTATGACAAACAATGGCTTTTTAGGCAACAGGTCATGAGAACTGCTGAGAATTGAAACAATGTGCATTTTAAAAAAACAAACATATTCTCATTTGTTAAAAAGAAGTGGCATTTTTTAAATAGCTTTTTTTTAAAGGAAGGAAACCTGTAAATAGGAGAATCTCTGTGAAATGTTTGGGCGGCAGTTATCTACAGACTGCATTTGCAATAAATACTGGTGAATTACCAATATAAGGAGAAAAGTGCCTTGGAGTTAGTTTAGATCCAGCAGTGGTATTGGCATATGATGACCCCTCTGGAGGCATCATATTAATGAGTATAAGAAACATTGTAGAATAGTTGAGACATCAAAAAAGAAGTAGATGCTTTAGTAATTAAAATATACTTTTGAGATGACTTCTCTGAAGGAGAAAAAAAGAATGCAAGGGAACACCTTCAATACAGCAGTATCTAGGGCATCAGACAGCAATTTGTCTTGGAGAGACAGTGCCGATTTCTCTTGAGTGCAACATAGATGTTTACTTTCCAGCTAAAGTGAAAAACCTTGTTTCAAGGATATACGGTTTGGACTTCAAATGGGAAATATTTTGTATCCTCTACTTGTACCAGCAAATGGAAAGGGTTCACCCTATGGCCACAATTATTGTGAGAGCAGTAGGTGGTCTCGTTCAGAATGCCTTTGTTGAGTGTTATCTCGATACAGAGAATAAAACAAATCATTTCTTATGGGATTGCACGTGAACCTTAGGATTAATGCAGTTTTCTATTGAACAAGTTAAACTTTCAATTGAATCAATTTTCTATTGATTTCTTCTTGAAATCTTTCTAAGAAAATCGATTATTTGAGCTGCAGGAGGAGACATTAGTGGCAGACTCACTTTACAATATTACTTGTAATCGTAACTCTGTCTTGAAAACACAAACATCTTGTCCATATTTATTCTGGTTTTCCATCTCAATAGGGAAATCTGGGTTTGGATTAGAATTTAACACTTTTTATGAACTTAACTTTAATATTTCTGCACTGGATTTATTCTGTGAAAATCATCAGAAGTAGAATATGCTCAAAGGACAGAAAAGAAGCAGTAGCTGTTGTTCTGTGTTTTGAGTGGTCTAAATTTATATTGTGAGGTGGTCTTTGAAGTTGTTACAGAATTTAGAAGAATGTATTTTCTTTGTCAAAGAAAAAGATACTGTCATATTACCCACTCTGCTCTATTGTTTTGACCTACGTTGTTAGATGAGAAGGAACATCTGAATCATCAGATTCTTTTGTTCACACACTCTTTTCTTCAACTGCTCTCTGCTTGGATCTGCAGGTAGCAAGTGCGTTGTTAAGAACACTGGTGTATGGCAAGGACTTTATGAATAGACAGTCATTGTTAGGCATCTGGGTGAGATGCTTATGTTTGATTTAATTTTTTTTTTTAAATTGCCTGTACAGCAAACAACTCTTGGACATAGATGACACTGTTTTGCTGAATCATGTCTAAAATTAGCTTTATAGCTTGAGACTGTGCTTTCAGCACCTGTGAAATACACTGGAAGCTCAGAACTGCAAGTAAGTCATTGACGAAGGTTGTTGTGAGATCTGTGAATGTGTTAGTTTTGGTTTTAATTAAAACCACTTTTCCCCATTTACAATAACCTTGATGCGTGCAATCTGACAGCCCTTCATAAGGTGACTTTGTCTCTAATCTGTCGTATATCCCGGAGTTCAATATTTACTGTTGCAGAACAAGTTTTTATTTGTAGTGTTTGCATGATTAAAAGTAGCGGTAAACGCTTTCTCTTGGAATCTAAAATCTTTGTTGAGACAGCAAGTGGAAATGAGATATATCATCTTTTCCTGTTCTGTAAGCAAAGTCAGTAATTGCAGCAGCTGCATTTTAAGCTGTTCATTTTATTAGCAAACAAGTCTGGAAGCATTTTAGAATTGCACAGAAATTTGTAATGCATTTGCCTAACTTACGGCAGATCTTAAAACTTTGGCAAAAGAGAATTTAAAAGGAATTTAGTCAGGGAACCTGCTTGGTTTTTTAGGGCCATTTACCTTAAGTTCTTCTGCAGACAATTTTCAGTTAGAACGATGCATGATTGTGGACTGTGTGATATTAGAAAAAAAATCTTTATCCTTTAGTGTGCACTCTTTTTCGTGTGTGTGTCAGAGAGGGAACACAGTTACAGAACTGGATGCATAAGAGGGTGAGCATAATGGATCTGGCTGGTAGAGTTAATTTTCTTTGTGGCAGCCCCTGTGGTGCTGTGGTTTAGATTTGGGATCAAAAGAAGTGTTGCTAAAACACCAATGAAAATTTTGGTTATTGCTGAAGAGTCTCAAGGCCTCTTCTGTTTCTCATTCTGCCCCGTGCAGTAGTAGGGCTACTAGTAGTAGCTAGTAGCTACTAGTAGCTCACTACTAGTAGTAGTAGTGAGCTTCCAGCTCTAGTAGGCTAGAGCTGGACAAGGGTTTGGGAGGGGACACAGCTGGGACAGCTGAAGCGAATTGACCCAAGAGGTATCTCTGAAGTGGATATCTCAAATACAGGTTGTGTAACACTGCAGTTCTGAAGGAGCCATTCAGTTAGTCCATGTTTGTCACTGTCCAAATAAATGATCACTCTATCATACTCCAAAGTGTACAGTTGGCTCTGAGACAATGGAATTACTCTAATATTTGGTCCAATCCTGTGCAAGTTTAAATAGAATATGAAAGCTAAAGCAAACACTAGCTGCTTTTACCCTGCACAGGTATTTTTAGAGAGACTGAAATGGTGTTTGCTTAAGATTTTCTATTAACTAATTTATGCGTACCAATGTGTGCCATCCATCCATCCCATCAATGAGTCTGAAGACATCCGAGTTCTGTGAGAGAACTTCCTACTGCTGACCTGCACACCATGTGTGAGCTCTGATCAGTTCATGCTTTGGTCACCTAGCAAATCCTTTTCAACAGTGAAGACAAGCATACATTTTGATCACCATATTCCAATAAACTGAGTAATGCAATTCATGTTTTCCAAGGGTCCATTGTATGGGAGAAGTCGTTAAGTTGACTTCTGAAAAGTCTGATATTTAACCAAACTGCAGCCAAATGGTGGGTGTTCCAGGTTTTGCTAAAAAACATAGGTCATCTGTGAAGTGAAATATGATCTAGAAACTGCATGTTATAGTGGGTTGGTAGGCTGTCTTCTGCAGCTAGAAACTGTTAGTTAAAACAAAAGATGAAATCTTGTGTATATGGAGAGTGTGAAACCACTATTTTTAAGATGCCAATGTCACTATTGAACGTCTAATTGTATCTCCGATTATCAAGAAGAACGGTAGTCGCAGTTTTATAAAGAAACCTTTTTAATTCATTTGCTAGCACTTCTCTGAAAATTCAAACGCTTAGCAAAAAATAACCTTTGCATGCTTGAGCACCTGTTATACTTTTTCCAGGGAAGGTGTGTTATATGGTACTTGTGAATTCAGAATAGAGCTCATCTTTTATAATGGAGTAGCAGCTAAACATGAAAGCCATTATGTAATGTTTTGAGCTGTTACTGATAACGGTACAGCACATAATGAGATGTGGAAGAAAGTGAAGTTAGATTATAAGAGCCCTATTTTTTATTTTAGGAAAAAAAAAAGGCAAACTAATGATGAAGTAACTTCCCTGTACCCAAGGAAAGCCTGCAAAGTGCTACTACGTGGTTTACCGTTTTTGGCTGTTGATTTTAATTTTTTTTATTATAGCGGTAATCAATATTATAAGAGAAGCTATGATTAATGAATAAATCTTGGATTGTAACAAAAGCCAAATTATAGAATCATGGAATATTTCTTGCAGCACTGCAGATAATTCCACGTAAGATGCCAGTGTTTATCTCTACAGTTGGTATGGTAGCTGCACCGACCGAGCTCTAACCTGAAAGCTATTTAAGTGTTGCAGTTCTTGCAGTGAGCCACACTGCCTTTTCTGGGTGAAAAGAAGATAAGCTCTGCAGACTACATGCTGTGACTGCTAGTGCTTTTGGACTATTGTCACAGAGTAGCCACTGTTATAGCAGGTAGCTTTGCATACCTCCAAATGAGTATTAACAGTTATCAGAAAAAAATAATCTCTGTGCCATGTGTACTTGGTTTAAGAAGGGTTGCCCTTCAATTTTTTTTTTCTTCTTCACTGGCTGTGTAGGATGTTTTGGTCAAGTCTGCATTGGCAAGGAATGTGTCACAACACGAGTGCACCACTGGATTCATGTGATTGTTGTGGGGCTCCTGAGCAATCTGTTGTACGTGGCTTGGGTTGTTTACAGTGAGCAAGATGCGGTCTGATCCTGTGGTTCAAACATCTGCATTACACGCATGACTCAGCTTTCTGGAAGCAGTTTACAAACATGCTGAGGGACCATGTCTTGGTGTGACCCAAACACTGATCAAGAACCTAACATCTTCATTTCTAGCAGCACATGGCAAGGAGCTCCTGGTTTATCTGGAATTAATCTAGTTTGTGTGCAACAAAACCACTCAGAAGCAGTATGTGATAAATGGAAGTGATCAAGGGGTTTGCCTCAAAATTGTTCTGAACCAAATTGTGGGTATAGGAATAGCCATTTAACATCAGGGGACTCAATTTATGCCTAAGAGAAAGGCATACATAATTTCTGTATTTAATTTCTCTAGTTAGGGAGAGGAAGCTATACAAATAATGCTGTTTCTCAAGCTGGTATTTGTATTTTTCAATTGATGTAAATAAGAAATGAAAAATTCAGGGACATGGTATATAATTGTTTAAATGTGGTGTTCTCTAGGTTGCTTCACCTTTCCTCTACTGCTGTGTTAACTGGTAGCTTTACAGAACTTTAAGGCAGGTGGTGTGCCCATAGGTCCTCTGTTGCCCTAGGATGCATTCTTTCAATAGTCAAGAACGCTTGTTTGAAAGAAAATGTTAAATTTTGACTGGTTCTCCCATGCACAAGGGTAACTAATATTCTACACTTCAAAGCAAACATGTTAGTTAACAAATGCAATACTCTGGAATAAGAGTTGGCACACTGCTTTTAGACAGAAGTGCACATGTACAACAAAGTTTGAAAACAAAACTGAAAAGCTGCGTAGACCACTGTAAATAAAACAACGTTCATCCAGAGTACACTCTGAAGACGTATCTCAGGCTTCCCCAGTATAGTTTCTTTAAAGCAAATGTTTTCCTGAAAGTTATGTTTGATAATACAATATGGAAAGCATTCAGGGTCAAAAAAGGCATAGGATGCCTTTCACAGAAACCCAGAATCCTGCTGGAAAAATCAAGGATTTGTAGTGGGCAGATGGTTTTCACTCTAAGGCTACCAAACAATTCCATGTCTGTGTACTCAATACTGATTCATCTTCGTTGTGTAAGCTGTATTTTTTAAGTATGGAAGTCTGTAAACTCTGATAAAGACAATACTTGAATATATTTTTTTTTCAGTAATTTTTACTAGTGTTTGCAGTAGAAGAGTAGGATATGGTCATGTGTTGCATTTTAGGTTCTGAGAGTAACGGATAAGAGAGAGGTCTTCTATATGTTTCCTAACAGAAGAAATGATGCTATCTGAAGCACCTTGGTGGCAGTTTTCCTTTCTATGGCTGGCTCATCTTTTTTGACATCCTCTGTCCCCTCTTCCTCATGCTGTCAGTATTTGCTTGTTTTCCTTTTTCTGGCTGTTTCTAAAGTGCCATCCCCCTCCGTGTTTCTTCGCTGTTACGCTCTGCCCCTTGTTCTCAGTTTCAAGCAGGGTGCAGTTATGCTTATATTGTACGGTGCCACTGTAGCGAAGAATCTGTGATCCCCTCGTACTGTCTTGGAAAGAGAAATACTTGAGATGGCGTGAGTAGCTTGTGTAGCCTCTTGGTCTGCTAAAATTTCTACCGTTTTACAAAGAACATTCAAATGATGTCCTTTTTTCTTACCTGTGTAATAAAACACCTCAAAAAATTAAAAGCTTATGGAGATACTCTGGTGCCAAGGGCTGCCACTGTTAAACAATCCAGTGGCAAGGTTAGATTTTCCTTTTTCTGCTCTGAGGCCAACTGTGCCGATAACGTTTATTAGGAAGACTAAGATGTGCTGCTTCTGCAGCACAGAGACCAAAAGATTCTGGCTGTCACTTTTTGAATTAAAAATGTCTTTTGGATTACAACTTTGCATGAACCTGAAGCATTTGCTTTGCTGTGTCATAAAGCACGGTTGTGTTTTACTGGGAAAAAGTACCATTTTATCTCAGAGTTTTCAGGTGATTAAAAAAAAAGATAAAAAGAGAAAAGAAGATAATTTGGTTAATTATTAAAGTTGACACGGGAGGAGTTGGTTTTCAACTTTAATTGCACTGTTATTTCCAGTGCATTTAAAATATAGAGCCAGTGCACTGTATGGTTTTCATATTATTTGATTGGCATAAACCGTAACGTTCGCAGTATGCATATTGGGAAGCGGAGGAGATGGAAGGGCAGGTGGCTTTGTTGAAGCACTCCAACAAATGTCTCCTGCGCAGCAACTATCAGGAGTAGTCTTCTTACAAATACGGGGCTGTACCAAGGAAATTTAAATAAAACCAAAACAACAACAACCAAATTATTCTGTGAATACATTGCTCACTTTTAGAATATAATAACTTTTGAAATGCCGTGGCAGGCAAGAAGAAGCCTGTGTGCGTCATAGTCGAAGGACACAATGGAGGTAAATGGCAACAGTAAATGCACAGCTAGATATGAGGAAGGTCTGTATTGCAAGGGATGCTGGCCTGATCCAGGCTAATCAAAACAGGAGTAAGAAAGGAGACTAAGCTAATTTTTTTTTTTTAATTTTATTAGAAAATTGTTTAGACTCTTTCTTTCTTTCATTGTTGCTTGCTAGTTTCCAAAGTTGTCTCGTGATCAGAGTAAGGTCAGTGAAATTGTTGAATATAAGGTTATACTCCTTTGCTCAGATTTTAAAAATATATAATCAGATGTCCTTCTGCAGGCAACACGCCAGAGGTACTTAGCATTTGATGTGAACTGGTGAATATTGGCCATTGGGCTGCAAAGCTCACCCAAAACTTGGTGCTGACAGGTGGTGGGTCTCTAGTGTAGTCTCAGTCAGCCAGATTGACCAGTACTTTGGCAGTGGGACCAAAGAGCTGACCATCTTCAGTTTGTGCCCTTGCAGAGCTGCAAAGTGAAATGAAGTTAACTTTCTCCTTTAATAATTATTATACTTTGTGACTGCAAGCTAAGACTGTTTCTGAGCACCAGACTACCCTGGGGGGCCATTGTCAGATGTGGAGTTATGATATCATTTGCCTCAATTATCCGTTACCAGAGTTTTGCTATTACATTATAGGCTACTTGGATACTGCGAAAACATGAGTCCCTTGAGTTGGGGATGGGAAGTGACTATTTGGAACAAAAACCAGTTATGGAATAGATAGACCTAAAATGGGATTGTGCCACTTGAAATGAGTATTCCACTGAAATTGCTGAAACTAAGGAGCAGTGTGAGCAAGAATAATTATTGTCGTTCTTTCAATAGGGTGGTTATATTATACAACTTGAACTGTCAACGTGGAAATAATTTTTCTTCTTTCTTTTATAAGAAACACGTATTTAATACCAAAACTCTTTTTTTCATTTACAGGCATCGACTTATCAGCATATTCAAGAAATAATGCTACAGTTATTACGCACAGTGAACAGAACTGTTATTACAATGGGGCGAGATGATCCCTTAATTGTGAGTAATAGTTTAATGTATTTTTAATGCTTCGAAAGTCATTTAAAGTTATCCTGAAAAAATGCATACGTTGGTTTTGTGGGGTCCTTGTTTGTGGACTTATATAGATTTTAAATAATAGGTATAAAGCCTTGCTCTTTTTTGCAGTCAGCTCTGGCACTGTGGGGTCTTTTGAAGTGTAGCTGAATACTGTGGGATTTGTGCATTTTTTTAAAACACCAAACACTAAATCTAAAGTTAATTGCTGTTTGCAAACAGAAGAATGTTTTACAAACCTGCATAAAGGGCGTAATTTAACTTACAAAACCAGTGTTTCTGCTAATCTAAAATGTGTCTGAGTTAAGGGAGAAAAAATAATTCTGAATAGTTTATATAAATAACTGGTGGATGCTGTTTCTCCCAGTTTGCCAACATGCTTTACTTGGTGGTGGTTTAGGGTTGCTGTGGAACAGCTGCCATTCCTGCCTCTGTTTCCGGAGGGGAAAGATGATGCCCTACGCACAGAGGGAAAATATCTGGGGATGCACTGTCACAGAGCACTCACCTGAGACTTTTGGATTTTTTTTGATGTTCTATGGTTTCAGAGTTATAATCAAGGACAGAGTCTGCAGTTTTTTCAGATTTAAGTACATGTCTCATGAGTATGCCTCTTGATTTAGTCAATTTGTGAGAATGCAGGTCAGTTGTGTATTGAACTTGCCCTTCAGACTGGGCACTTAAGAGATGTATATTAATTGTTAGTCTTGAGGGATTTAGCTTATTCTGGAAAATCATGAGCAACATTTACTTGATTGTTTTGGCAACAAGAGGTACATTATATGTCTTTTTAAAATATACTTTGTTTCCTTGTTCATTTATGTTGGAAAACAACAGTAACAGTTTTAGATCGTTGCCAGTTAGATTATGTGTCTCTTAATGTTTAATCTCCTAATAAAGAGAAAGCTGTTTGCCAGTGGTTGCTTCCAACTCACTGGTGGTAGATCTGCAAGTTTCAGAAATCCTATCATTAATTGTTTATCAGAACTCCAGTCTGTTATTCTGTGTGTAACCCACTGGTGTGTACATGTGGTCGTAGCAGGAAGAGGTTTTAAGTGAAGACCCAGTGAACCTTTCAGTTCTCTACAATCTGAACATGTTTTCTGTACTTGCAAGGAAAGCATCATCTGAGTGTCATGGATGATGTAATCAGTCTATTAAAGAGTGTTTCTGCATATCAGAAGCAGTAAATGAAGAAACAGTTTACAGTCAATTGGAATGGCTTGGAAAATCTGTTTGTGTGGGTTTTGCTTGTTTGGGGTTTTTTTCTCCCTCAACTACTCTAATTAGGTCAGCTTTTTTTACCTATAAAGATGGAATCTAGTTTGAATTTTGAAATGCAGATGTCTGAATGCTAATAAGCATCTATGCATATTTATGTATTGGACATTGTAGAGGTTATTCAAATCAGAATTCCAATAGATGACTAAGTGTTCTGGAGCTGAGGCAAGATCTCTCCACAGTGTAGTCTCTTATGTGTGACGTGAAAAAATTGTAATGAACTAAATAGTCCTTTGCATTAAGAAAGAATCAGCCAAGTAAGTTGTTTCATGCTCTGTGTAGTGCCTTTAGTTCACTCGGTTAATTTGCAGGTTTGCTTTATAACTACTTTAGAGTGCCAAACTTGTGGGAAGCCTGAATGCTTAATCTTTTCACAAGGAAGATAGGAATTATGGCCGCCTGCAGAGTGCTCGGGGGAGCTGAAGTCACTAAAAGTATGGCGAGCTCTGCAAGTACAGGTGGGACATACGGAGTAACTGCACTCAGGCTGTGTAAACGATGTTATGTGGACATGAGTGATGTTTCAAATTGGACTACCGCTGTTATTTACTCCCAGGAGAACAGAAGGGTACTCTTTAGATTCTTAGCACTGCTACTGTGCTTCTGAATATTACAAGTGTTTTTAATCATCATCTGCTGTATAACCACCTGGAATTTGAAAATGGTGTGAAAAACAATGCTAATACTCCTGTTATACTAATAAAAACAACAGTTAAAATTTACAAGATCTGTAATTTCTTTAAAAGTTTAAATGTCTTGCACCTGATAGAATACTGGATTTTATTTACCTCAGGTTTCTTTGCTTTCTGGCAGGAATAAACAGGTTAATTTTCATATTCAAGTGTCCTTTTCACAATAGCCTAGCTTGTTGGCAGAGAAGGAGTTAAAAGCATTTTAGATTACATTTGTATTTCCTTTTCCTGCTACAATGCCAGTTGAATCTAAGGGATGGTGCTGCCTCCTTCTCAGCTGGTAAGCGAGTGCTGTGAGCTTTGTTCATGTAATTACAGGAAAGAGTCAGGCTAAGGAGGACACAATCTCTTCAGGAGAAACTTCACTCTTGCCTTCGTTGTGATGTTTTGGCAGTTGAAGGCTGCTTGGTTGTTTTTCTTATTAAAATAAAAAAGCCTTGACTGTAGTTGCAGAAGTGCTTGTAAACTTCTAATATAGATGGACAAGTTTATTGTCTGAAATTGGCTATTCAAGCTTTATCTTGAATACTCTGAAATGTAGACTTTTAGTTAAAGGGCGTAGTGGTGCAGTGAAGTCCTACTATAGTAATTATAGAATTACATAGAGAAAAACATAGAAGCGTTTAGAATACAGAAATACTTATTTTCAGTATTTGCTTGATTAGATAAACAAAAATATAAATTCAGCATGTAGATTTTAAAGCTTTTCCTTTCAAAACTTGATTTTGCTCACAATATCATTTTAGCATGATAAAAAAAGTGTCGTTACACTACAAAGAAAAGTTTTTAGACAATATTTATATAAGATGTTTTACAAAGAAAGACTGCTGAAAAGGAAGCTGCTCTGTTAACCAAAGCTACGCTAGATAGCATACTTCTGCAAAAAAACACGATATTCTTTGAGGGAATAATAATCAGAGAAACCATTTTGCAAAGCTGCCATGGTTGGTGTTATACTCAAATATACAAATGGTCTAGCTAAAAGTTACAGCTTTTTAATTCAGTATTCAAATTGGAATCTTTTCTCTACCTTGAAAAGCTGCAGAATGATTCCATGCAAGACCCAACTGTTCCCTTCCTTTGTAATCTAAATGTTGTTTGCTATTAATTGACACCTGAAGCCTAAGAAAAATATCTCATTTTATTGCCAAAGATAACATCACATTTAAAGAACCTAGAAATTTACAAAATATACACTAGGTATCACACTTCATTAGAAAGGTATTTTGTATCTAAGCTAGCATAATTACCAAGTATTGTGGCTTTTTCAAAAGAGAGAGTGCACGAAACTATAAAAAGACCTACATGAACTGCTGTCGCATGTCAGAGAAATCAGTATTTTATTCATACATTCTGAATTCTTAAAAAAAGTCAGGTCGACACCATAAACCGGCAGTTTCAAATACTCTAATTCTGGGGTATGCCATCTTCTGTGCAATGTTTTATAAACAGCATATTGTAGTTACCATTTCAGTATGTCCTTCAGAGAAGCCTACGGTATTTCATATGCAAGTGCTGTCAAGTAGTAGTGGTTTTGGGGCTGGTTTGTTGTTGGTTTGTGGGGTTTTGTAGGTTGTTTTATTTAAAAACGTGTTTGTATGTATTTCTAACATTTATTTCCTACTCTGGGAGCTGGGTTAGGCATTACACTGTAATTTTATAAATGAGAGAAACTTTTATAGCCAGTACTATTATATTCTAAAAATCAGCCAATTGCTTTGCTTTTCCAGTCTTGACATCATAAATGCCATAGTGTGTGTCTGGTATTTTTTTAATCTTTTATATGAATTAATAATTAATTACTAAAATATTTAAAATACTAAACAATAAACCAGCAAGCAATGTTTACAAATTACATTTTTACATAGCTTAGATTCTCCAATTATGTATTAAAAAGCTATTAAATTTTAAGTATAGTTTGTGTTGCTAGGATATACAAATTTCTGATAAATGTATAGAAAACATAACTAAGCAGTCTTACCCTCTTGCTATGGTTGATGCATACCATGAGTGACATTCTCCCACTGTTACATTTTAATGTAAGAAATAGCCTTTTGCTCCAATGTTGTCTTTAAAATTTTATGTAGAAAGCCTGTTATGTGTCGTGTGCTGTGGAGAAGACTGGGTGTAAAACCTTCTTGCAGTTAGTAGGTGTGGTTTTATTGTGCAGATACGATGATTATTCTTTTGTAGGAATAACTTAATTCTGGCATACTTTTACTTTATTTTCAGCTAAACTATTGCATGGTTTTTTTCATGGTAGTCAGAGCCTTTGCAAGAAGAATGAGGGAATTCTGTCTGTCTTTCAGATATGCCTTTTGTTTGGGTCTTAAATATATATTTTAGACCTTGGCTGGCGGTTGCTTCTACTGCTGACTCAAAACCTCTCCTTTGTTGTGTTGAAGTCCTGAAGTAGAACTCTAGGAGCAACCTTTCTGAAGGACAGTGCTTTAGCAGCACTGTCATTTCATGTTGTCTGTAAAGGAAAACAGATGTCTTGAAGGGCGTGAATTTGAAAACACTGAACAGAGGGTAGGGTTAAAGACAAGGGAATGTTCTTATATGGCAGCACTCAAGCTGAGGGTTGGCTGGCCTGTATACCTTACGTGTTTCCCTACTGCTGTGTGTGCATGTGTGAAGAAGAGAATTTCATATCCATGGATGGATGGATCCATACTTTACTGCTTGAGAGGGAACTGAAAAACAACTGACTGAGAAATATGGAAAACAAAGACTAATTGTGGCAGGGAGATTAAGGATTAAAAGTCATCTACGGTTCTGAATTCCATCAAGATCAGACATTAAAATAGAAAACCTGTAATCATTTAAATCAGTATTTTTCAGAAATATTGATGTTTGTGCAGGTCATAAGAAAGACTTAGAGCCTTGTTTACACCTGTCTTTGGTTGGACTTTCTTAAACTAAATAGAGTATTTATGTTCTTGCATAGTTTAACTGACTCCAGGAGTTGATTGGTGTTATGTGGTAAAC